GCGGTCCCCACGGCGTGGCCGTCCCCCCCCCCCCTCCCCCCCCCCCCCCGCCGCACCGGTGCCGTCCCTCGGCACCCATCCGGCTCACCCTGCGCGTGGTCCTTCCTCCACTGGGTCATCCAGAAGCCGCGGAGCCGCAAGTCCCGGAAGATGAACGCGCTCTGCGGAGAAAGGGAACCGCGCACCCAGGTGAGACCTGTCCCCTCCCAGTGTGACAGCGGTGGAAGGTGGCAATGAGGCTCCTCGCTCCTTCATTAGCCCGCTCATTTGTGAGTCAGGGCACAGCGGGGATGCAGAGATGCGACTCCGAGGCGTGGAGTCAGGGCAGGTTTGATGCTTGGTGTCTGCGGAGCCATTTCCCTGCTGGGATTTCACAGCAGCCCAAATCCTCCATAAATAAAGCCAAGAGACTCGCGCTGGGATGCAAAGTGGCTCGTCCCGTAACGGACCCCATCAATTACAAAAAAAGAAGGTTGGAGGCTCTGAATTCGACATCCAAGCAGCTGACAGTGGCAGAAGATGAACCCTCTTGCTGCAGGCAGGCAAGAGCTCAGCTCCCGCAGTGCCAAGGGGATGGGGACGTCAGCAGCGGGGCACAGGGGACACGCCCCGAGGGAAATTAAGAGCATCCCCAGTACTCACCACAGGCACCACCACGGGCTGCTTTGCCATCCCGCCGTAGGTGACCACGGTCCCTTTGGGCCTGGAAGAAGAAGGGGGTATTCGGTTATGCGGTCCCCAACGTGCAGCTTTGACCTTGCAACCTCTTCCTCTGCCGTACCCAACCCCACTGCTGCACCGACGGGGCTGTTCTCGCACCAAGGGTTCCCCCAGTTACCCCTCAGACTCCACTTTCCAGAGCTCCCCTCTCACTCCCATGCACCATTAGGTGAATTTGCAGCTAAATACACCAGTTATACCTGGCCAGGACCTGGTGGACCTTCCTAACTGGACCTCAGCTGCCTCCAGCCACCGGCAGCGTTGGTGATGACGGGTTAACTTTAAGTCACTGCTATGTTCCAAAACCACTTCTTTTCCACTCATCTCCCCTCTCCAAAACTTCAATGATGACCAACATCAGCTAACAACATCTCCGGCCACCTCTTGCACTCTGGGGGCTCTGGAGCAGGACCCTCCGGTGCCAGCTGCTGTCCCCGAGCCCGTGCCCAAGCCACCACCCAGCCAAACTTACTGCAGATGCCGCAGCATGTCCGTAGTGCTTTTGCCTCCGACGCAGTTCAGGGCGAGCCGGGGCTTCGGGATGCTCTGCAAGAGTTTATTAAGAAGGTTCCCAGATTTTAGGGCTCCTTCTGAGGATGGGACTGCGGTTCTTGAGGGAGCAACTGCCTTAACCTCAACATTTACCTGGGTGCAACCAAGAGTCGTAGAGCTAAAATCTATGATCTGGCCCTTGCGGTAGCAGCAAAAGTGCTCAACTTCTGGGGCTAAATCCTGATCTAGAGAGAGATTTGTCCTTCCCACCATCCCTGCACCTTTCCCCGCAGC